GAGCGTGCTGAGTTACTCGGTAGGATCTCCCTGTTTTGTTGGATGGGTTCATCAGTCTGCACCACTTTGGTTGAGGTCCAGTTTTTGTGTTTCTTCTATGTTCTAATATTTAATCTAAAAAATGCATTTCTACTAATATTTATCTATATTTTATGATTGGTTGGTTTGTATTTTCTTTAATTGTATTATTAATTTGTTTCTGTTAGTACTGCCCAGATCGGGGAGCTTGGTAGGCTTTCAGCATCAATGAAGAAGTTGGAGGCTAAGCTTAAAAATACTAACAAATACCAGGTTTTGATATTTCTCACTTTTTCCGTAGGATGTGTTCAGAACCTAGATAGTGCTATGTATAAAAAGTAGGGGAAAACAATAAGGTAGAAAATACGGTGGAATGATTTTTTTAACTTTTAGATAATAAAGAATAGACTCAAACTTACTGTAATAAATTTGATTTATATAGCTTAGAACTCATATTTATTCATTTATCAATTTATTTCTATTATATAGAGACTAAGAAATCAAAGCATGTGGTATTTTTTTTAAAAAAATATTCCATATCATATTTCTTTTTCCGAGTAATGCCAATCATAAAAATTACATTCCTTGGCATTTCCCCCCTTCTCCTAGCATTTTCTGTGATCCTAACATAGCCCAAGGGAAACTACTATGAAATTACTAGGGTAACACATTAGGGAGGAATAATTACCCAAATATATTTCCCCAAAAAAAAATTACCCAAATATACTCATCGAATAATTAGGTGGATGTGACACTATTCCTTAGCATGTAACATTTTGTGTGTTTGGCATTAATGCAGAATGAAGAATATCAAAGTAAACTTAAGAAGTCAAACGATAGATCTGTTGCACTGGTCAAAGCAGGGTTAGACATTGTTGTTGCGGTTGGATTACTTCAATTGGCACCCAAAAAAGTAACTCCACGTGTGACAGGAGCCTTTGGATTTGTCAGCTCTCTCATATCTTGTTATCAGGTAACCTGTAGGAGTTTATTACATACAAGCCTTGTTTGGATTGGTCAGAATTGAATTCAATATTTCAGATTAAGATTGCTAAGACTTAGGCTCTGTTTGGCATCAGAAGTCAACTTAGTATGCTTTGCCATAATAACAAGATTATGCTTTAAGTGGTGAGCCTAAGGAGGAGTGTATTGCACTACAATTCATATTTTCTCCAAACCTATAGTGTTTGTTGATTCCCAATGTTTCTGAATTTAAACATGTATATCACACGTGTAATACAGAAACCTCAAAATGTCTAGTGTGTCAGACACTCGACACACACTTTGAACATTGCATGTTGTGTGTCATTGACCAGACATGATGTCCAATGGCTGGTACACACTTTAAATGTCATCTAAAAAAAGACCGTAAACAAGGCTAAAATATAGGTTAAATGCTCAAATAGGACCACCAATGTTTTCTTCCTAAAATAGGACACATTCACTCTTAATTGGGGAAGTTTTATGCTCTTAATAGAACCAACTCATATTTTGAGAATAAAACATAGATACTCCTATTTGTGCATTTTGTTTATGTTTTACTCCTATTAAGAGCGATTTTTTTCTTTTTTCTCACATTTCAATAATTTCTTTTCACAAATTTTTAATTTTATAACCGATAGTGGCCCACTTTAATCACTCGACTTAGTATGGGCTGTATGGATCATATTTAAACACTTTTTATTATTCTTCTGAAATGTGTATGCTTGTAAGTAAAACCAAACGAGGCAAATCTGAGGCTAATGTGTAAAACACACATACATGTAAAAGTGAAGTAATGGCACAGTTGCAGGAATGTTCATATTTATTCGTTATGAATAACTTGCATAAAGAACAGTTGCAGTAATCTTTATCAATTTGCAGTTGCTCCCTTCACCAGCAAAGACCAAGATGGCTTGATGAGAGCCGCCAATGTTTGTCAAGAGATCATCCCGTCTTTTGCTACAATAATTATGTGTAAAAAGGGATTGTCTGTTGCTTATGTTTCTTCGGGCTGTTGGTGCACATTGTAACATGAAATTTCACTTGCCTCGGTTTTTTTAAAATAAATTATCTTATGCCTTATTCTCTCCCTTTCTTTCCCATGTATTTTATGCGCTGCTATATTTGATTAATAAAATCTAATACGAGTAATAAGTTAGAAGCATAGACCTTGATGAAAGTCCTATTACGGTGCTTTTCTGCTTTCATTTATGTTTTGGTGGTTAATACGTAGAAGCCTATATTCCTTAGGTGATTAGATCTTATTGGATGAGACTTGAGAGTATGAGATTGAAAACTGAAGTAAATGATTCAGGCCTTCAGGGGAGTAAGATTAAAGTCGTGTTCTCAAAATCAGTTCGGTGACTGGAATTGACTCAGCCAAAGTGATTGAATGGCCAGGTTAGACCAGTCAATATGGTATCAGTTCGGTTAGGACTGGTAAAAAGTACCCATGGTAGGGTTGGTTTGCAACTGCTTTTAAAAAAGCACTTATCAGCTTTTGGCTTTAAAAAAGCACTTATTTTCCCAAACACTACAACTTTTATTTTTCTCGGCTTCCGCGTCAAAAGTGATTTTACTTTTTCTATTACACAAAAAACATTTATTTTACCAAACACTGCCCACTTTTACTTTTCAAAATCACTTTTTTCTCAAACACTATCAACTTTTATTTAATCACTTCTTCCTATTTCATTAAAAAAGCACTTTTTTAAAAGCAGAAGCTGTTGCAAACAGACCCTTACTCTATACTCCGTACCCAGTAGTATATATACCAAGCTAAAGTGAAAAAGTAACTACTCTATAGAACATACACTCAAAAGTGTAGTTTTGAACCATCTTTGGACAAAAAGTATTACTCCCTAGTCTTACTTTGTCCAATCTAGGCATGGAACCGGGTTGGTCCAGGGCCTAGCTCGGCCTGTCCCGGTCGGTTGTGGTTCTAAATAATTGAAGCCCGGTACCAACCGATTTGGTCTGGTACTGGTTCGGGTCCGGGTTGGTGCCTGCCCTTTAATTATTATTTTTATATAAAAAGTAGCCGTTGGGACTGGAACCAGGTCCAGTCCCAAAAGTTCAAGCCCGAGTTTGACCCTTTTCATACCACGGTCTGGGTATCGGGCTGGTACTGATAATGGAAAACTGGACTATCCTTAGTCCAATCTCTTTCTTTTAAATTTTAATTATCTATAGACAAACAGTATTACTCCCTCGGTCTTGATCTTTCCAATCTCTTTTGTGCTATTCTAAAATTTGTTCAATATTTGTATCAAATATTAAGCTATGTGTCCTGAATTTAGCTGGAAATCTGAAATGACATGTAACTTCACTAGTTTATAGTTTATACATTTCTTATAGTTCTGTTGGGATTACGTTTCTAAGATAGTTGTTTAATACATCGCAAATGATCTTTCTTGAATAGTTGAATGAACATGAGTCATGAGTGTATCATATAATTATTTTAATCTGTTGTGATGTTTCGATCTCAATTTTTTGGTTTGGATTGAACTCGGTCTTCTGAGTTTTTCCATTTTTAAGCTTATTCCGAATTTTATGTTGATCGTCTCAATTGTGACGATGGCTCATTGGATGATTTGGATCTAGGTAGGACTCGATTGGGTCCACCAGGTTTATCAAACATGATGATATATAATTCATATGCAGTATAAAGCAGGATATGAATCCAAACTCTTTTTAGAGGAAACAACTTATATTAATAACAAAGATACAGAAGCTATCAAAGTGTACAATTCCACAAGGACCACAACACAATCTATAGGAGCAACTCGAAATAGGGAAAGACTTTTTGCTGATGCTACAAACAAATCTTAGCCAAGATTTGTTTGTACTTTGTATAGGTAAAGGTTAATGAAGTGAACTCTGAATATAATGCTCAAAAATAAAAACCTGCCTCTGTAAATGAACTAATCTCAAGCTTACTAATTTTTTGCAAAAGTGTAGGTTAATTACTAATGATCATTCAATATTTGCCAGATTACAATCTTAAGTTTAAGTTTAGGTTTACTTAAATGGTACTATTCGTGGACAAGAAGTTAAATTTTAGCTTATTTTGATTCAACATATTTTCAAAGTTCAGCTCAAGCTGAAATTACATTGTACGGAGCATTACATATATTCTATAAACGAGTTTTAACAAATCAAACTCGTTAACTTTCAACCTTCATCTTTCATAATACTAGAGTGAATCAGTTTCTTTTCTTTTGGAATTTTAGGGTTTGAAGTTTGGTGCCGACTAATTGTTTGGCGAGCTTCTTTTGCCAATGTTTTGCCGCTCATTTTGATGTCGATAACACCGTAGTGAATCGGTTTCTTTTCTTTTGGATGTTGGGTGGCCGAAGAAGGCGATGAGGATCTGATTTGGGGTGTCCATAGCTGCCGCAGTTCAAAGATCTCCTTAGGGGCCTTGCGAGGTGTTATCGATCAGGCTTAGTATGGCCTAGGATGGAGGGGAGGTCAAGGCGGCACTGCGTAGCAAAGGGGCACGAAGGCTATCCACATACTTGAGCGAATATGTAGATGTGAGAAAGTACAATGAGATGACTATGACAGACTAGAGTTTGGCCAACGATGAAAGATCAATCATAACAATACTTATGATCAAGTCTCCTCCTGAACCACAACCACAAGTTGAACGAGGTGCTAGGATTCAAGAAATTTATCCCATTAATAGTTATTTTGTAGTTTGGTTTCTTGTTAAAATCTATGTTGCTAAGTTTATCGAGATGATGCAAAATTTAGCTTTTTTATGTCATTAAAAGTATACGAATCTATAGGACCAATGATGTTATGTCCAACTCATGATTAGCGATTCACATTACTCTTTGTGGGTAACCGTTTCTATATCAATTATAGTCATAGTTGATAGAGATTAATTGCCTAATTGGTATGAGATATGATTTTCTTTAATTGATGTAACAATCTTGAAACTAATGAGATAAATATAGGCAATTTTGCTTTCAAAAAAACAAATCAAACTCGTGAAAAGCCTTCAACACATTATTGTTCATAGAACTTATTATCCTCATGTTGGACAGTTCCTTCTGTTGACATTACGTATACGTAGTATAAGTATATTCCGTAATATAATTACTATAGCACACGGTTAAAGCTGAAACGAAAGACAAGAAAAAAATAAGTTAAATTTACATGTGCAAATACAAACACCCCCCTAAAAAGTCCATAAAAACATTCTGCAATCTATAACTAATCATCATGCAATACAAACTCCATCTCCTCATCAGAGTCATCATCATCATCCTCCCATGGATGCATATGAACTGGTTGTTGAACACCACCCAATAGATACCCCAACAAACCCACATTTCTCTCATCCTGCCCGAACAGTCTAGAAAGATCGTCATCTTCACCGTCAGCCAATGTCGTCAGCATGCACTGAAACATTTCATGGTTGTAAGTCATCGAGAACTTTCCAGATGATTCTTGTTGCTCAAGCATCTGCACATCAAATCCAGGGGAGAGAGGTCTGCCCCCAACTTTTACATGGCTCACACTGTGCATTGCATTAAGTGGGAAATTAAGATCCATGTTAGAATATTGGTACTCCATACTTCAAAACCAATTATTGTTTTTTATATGGCCTAATCCACAAAAACAGAAAAGAATGACATAAAAAAACATTACATAGACATAGATTTTCACTCAGACGTTTATAATGATGAAAGAAAACTTGGTTATCGTGAATTGCTAGTATATTTGCATCCATCATTGCCTCGGTAGTTTTTCTTAATATTTGGAAATTCATAAGAGTAGACCCGGATTTTATAAGTCGGTTTGTTATTTTATCACCAATATGGGCGAATCATGCCCCTCAGAATGATTGGCTAGATGACTTGAGAGTCAATAAATGAGTTAACCGAGATCCCAAACGACCTATCCAAACCATGAGAGCCAAACAAACTAAAATCTATTCAGTGTATGAAACTATGTTAAGACTTGTAGGGAATGTAACCAAAGATTTTACATGTTGAATTTGTTATTTCATATTTAAGTGAGGGGGGATAAACAATTCAACAAATTTTATATTTCCATGGTTCTAAAAATCGGCCTAGGTGCTAGGCGGTGAGCAGGCGCCCCAATTTCGTCGTAATTGGTAAGCAAAATCGGTCAGGTCCCTAGATTAATTTGGTTTCCAGTCCAACTTATTTTCTCCATTTTGTCTTAAAACATCCTTTGATCAATAACTATTCTATTCAACTTTTTATATTATTACATTTTCTCCTATTAAACTTATTTTCATATTAGTATATTATTACAATAAAAATAAGCTTCACGTGTATATAAACTTTTTAGGATGTATATGAATAATTTTAGAGACTAAAAACCCAAACCTCTTATTTCATTTGATTTTTTATATCAATTATTTTATTATTGACAGTTTTACTACAAAAACATACTCCCTCCGTCCCGTTAGAAGGTTCCCACTTTCCTTTTTTGGACATCCCATTAGAAGGTTCTCATTTCCATTTTAGGAAACAATTAAAAATATTAAGTGAAAAATTAGTCATTAAATATTAAAAATATTACATTTATAACATCACAGTTATCAATACTAACACATTATAATATATACCTATTAAAATTATTTCTCAAAATATATCCGAAGTACTTTATTTAATTATCACCTAAATAACCGTGCTGTTTTGCTATGGGAACCTTCCAGCGGGACGGAGGTAGTAACATTTAATAATAATATGATCTATTCTATTGTCAAAACTTTATAAAATCATTAATAAATAACATCAAAACTCATAGAAAATAAAAATAACATTAAAAAATAAAGAGGAATACATAGGCGCTAGTCGGCGCCTAGGCGCAAGACCAGTCAGTCCACTATTTCACAGGATTCTATTATTTCAATTGTAGTTAAGAGATAAGAAAAGTCAGTTTCTCACATATAAAAGGTCAGAAGATAGAGGTTTTATAAGGTACTTGTGGTCAAGATAGCAGGAATATGTGGAATTTACTACTAACCAGATATAAAACAAGTCATCCATTTCTTGTGTCTGGACTCTACCTATGAGCTCAATCTGTATAAATCCACCAATGCAAAGAACAGGTTCGGGCAACTTGAATGCCTGCAAGCAACTCTCCTGTACATGGTAAAACCATTTCAGTTTGTCTTCATTATATTTATTCTTGCAGTGCAGCAAAGGTTACCACCTTTGGTGGGGTAAGGGGGTCGGATGTAAGCAATCCTACCCCTGTACTAAAGCACAGTTTGACTGTTTTCGGATAACCCATAGTGAAAATCGCGTCGAAAATTGCATGGACTGACTGCTGCTTCATAATAAAGAAACGCAGACAGTCTAGTGAGTCATTTTGCTTTATTCCACCATATTCCCAAGCCAATAAAAATAGTGAGTCTTTGGCTCTATTGCAAATGATGGAAATACTTACAGCAGAACTGCTACAGACCTTTTTTCAAAAGTGATGAACTTCAACTACCTGACCATCACTTCCGCAGCAAAAAACATAATACTCGGGGGGGGGGGGGGGGGATAATTTGGAATTTACACTAGGAGGCTAAATCGTCATATTTCAAGACATTTTTACAGGCCCCCAACTCCTGATGACTAATAAACACCTAAGAAACAATTAAAACTGTAAAATAGTGGCAGCATAAGAGATGCTTGCAATTGTAAATGTTTTTAACTCTACACTATTTTCTAATGATGTTTCCCATCAAGACATTTTTACAGACCCCCAACTCCTGAAGACTAATAAACACCTAAGAAACAATTAAAACTGTAAAATAGTGGCAGCATAAGAGATGCTTGCAACTGTAAATGTTTTTAACTCTACAATATTTTCTAATGATGTTTCCTATGCTGCGAAAAAGCACCTACCATGATGATAATGACGATTGAGGTTTTGAAATTCATTATTAAAATTGACAAGTCCTTTAGAAGCATCCAGTGTAATCCTTTGCTGCAATGCCTTCTGCTGTTTTGCATGAACTTAAATTTTTGTATTGTATAAATTAAACAATTCTATCTTCACTAAAAAGGGTCTTGTTTGACCAATTTGCAACTCTCTTATTTTGATGAGATACTCTTGACGTGAATAATAAACCTAGTATTATAAATTTATAATTTACACTTCTGAACTATGTGTTTGCTCAACTAAAATAATCACATACGAAGTACTATGTATAACATATCAATGACATTTTTGGCTGTTTTTTTAAATTACATGAAAATAGAGCTCCATGTGATGAAAATAGAGCAACTGACACCTTATCACATCCACCTACCTCAACATATGTGACAACAACCGCATAGAAAATAGTAAATTTCTACAGATTAAAGAATGACTTTGAGGGTGAAACAGATGGGCTGCTTACCACATGATATGCAATACACAAAAAGGTACAATATAAAGATTAACAAAGGCGTGAAGGTCTGCAAAATGTATATAAAAGAGAGAAAAGACCTGAGTCATTAGGAACTCCTCTGAAGTATAGGTCCATACAAACTTATCATTAACTGGATGCTGTGTAGGCAACTCCAGACTTGATATTTCAGTTGGAGATTTGGGATGGCCCACTCGAAACCGTACAGATTTTGCTGAGTATATTGGTTTGCCAGGTTGAAAAAATGCTGAAGGGAAATTTCAGTTTACAGCAGCCCAAAGTATAGTGGTATCAACAATACTTGCATGAGTAAAGGGTTAAAGAGCCTGCTTGGTAACCCCTTTTCGGCTTATCATCCTTATCAGCCAATTTTTTTATAGAATGCTAAATTTTGATGAAATATTTACGTATTTATGACTAATACAAATAGTGTGGACAAAAACATGACTTCTTAAGTGTAGTGACTATAGTAGTAACTTTTAGTGCCTATTTTTATGTTCAATTTTTACACTTAAGTGACGATCACATTATACTCATAGTCACTTTAGTCATATATTGTCAATAAGTTTATTTCATCACAGGCTGAATTTGTAATGACAAATACAAGGTTGAGTAATTATTCTGGATGAATTTGTTGAAGATGATCATTTTAGTTTTTCTATATAACTTTTATTTAGTTTTATTAGTAAAATACATTTTGGACCTACTTTTCATTATTCAATAGATTCAGCAAAATTCAGCTGTTTTAGCTACAATTTCAGGCTTTCAGCACATTCAATATATTCAGTCATTTCAACATTACCAAACAGGCTCTAAGCTGAAATGGACAAAAAACTAAATATACCTTCAAAAGGTTGTATTCTAAATTCAGTCACAACCCCAAAGTCAGCTTTCAATTTGTATATTAAAGTCTCGGGCACGTCAGGATTACGCTGCCCTTTACTGGACCAATACGACGCTGTACCCATATACGATTCCCTTGGATATAAAGTATTACTAATACTTTCAAGAGGGAAATTGTCTGTACTAGAAGCCCCAATTGCACGATCAATAGATTCAGTTGGAGATGATGCTAGCAGTGTCTGAGTGGCTTTAAGTAGAGAGGCATAAACCTTATGTTCTGTTCTTGGGGACTCCAGTTCAGGATTGGTACATGAGGTACATCCAACATATGATTCAGATGGTCTACAACCTTGTTCAACTACCCATGCAATGCTTGAGAGTTGAGGGAACTTTCTTAGACACACTTTCTTGGAAATCCCGTTTTCAATCACTGCAAATATTTTGATGTTTAAAATGTGTCTCATTTATTTAGGTGAGAGGAGATCATGCTAGGCACACGAAGGCCGGAAAGTAAAGTTGCAGCTATGCACTAACAAATATGCCATAACTACTAGACTTAACAAAAGGAACCCAAATGAGAGCATATGTCATGCATATGCTTATTTTAGGCTGAAAGTCTAACAAAAAAAATTAAATGAAGAATTAAGTTGCCAAGTAGAGGTTATTGACCGAAATGAAAGGATTTAACGGATGGGTACCAAATCGGAAAGGAGTGAAACTTGAAAGGATAGTGATATATTCATCATCATCATCGTTACCCCAGTGCCGCAAAGGGTCCCACCTACAGTGGGGTAAGGAGGGGGGTCGGATGTACGCAGTCTTACCCTTGTACTAAAGCATAGAGACTGTTTCCAGATGACCCATGGCTTAAAAGGACTGTGATGAAAAACAAAATTAACCAAAAATAAAAGTATGAATAACCAATGGCAAGTTGGGTGCTCAAGTGGCCGAGCAGATGGCTCAATGGGTGCCTAGGACAGTTTTGGAGCAATGTGAGACTAAGTACTTGTTCACTTGGACTTGTTTCAGTATGAGTCTAGAAAAGATAAACTACACTTAAACAAATTAGACCATACTAGTGTAGACCAGTCCATTAAATTTCAGTCCAAATGCAAGGTCCTAAACATAGAATGGTGGATATTAAATTTTATACAAAGAGCATGGGTTGGAAAATAATATACCAAGCATTTGACAAAAATCATTTATCATTAGAAAACAAGCATCAGACTCCCTTTAGCATAAAATGAAGGAGCCAACAATAGGGTATAATGCTTACTGAACTGACGCCAAAAACGGGACACAGCTCCAGCACGAACGAGGTCAGTGGGATCAGTTAAGCACAACAGAATGTTGATTATCATGTCCGTTTCAAGGCATTGCATAAAGTCAATTTTAATCTCCATTCCCAATTATTACCACACAACACCTAGTGAGAAATAAGATGACAATAAACAAAAAAACCGTCATAATGATAAAAATATTGTGTGATTAATGAATGTGGTATCAGGACACCCAAAATAATAATATCATAATGATCACTAAACTAATTCTTCTTGCATCCTGTAACTCCCAAAAGTTACTCAAAGCACAGCTCAATATTACAAATTATAAAATCTAGCCAACCATCAAAATGACCAAACTCACCATAGTCAAGCTGAAATGTCATTTTCATTAGAGCAAAATGTACACCTTCGCGTAAGCATAAATACTAGACAACCCAGACCAAACTGAGTTATTGACCAATAAAAACTGTATTTGTCTTCATGATGCAATTAGCGATTTTTTATACGCCATAAAAAGAATGTAATGAAATGAATGATTATAACAGAGATACATATACACATTTTATATATTTTTTAAAGATTCAGTTTTTCTAATGAGAAACTAGCAACTGGAGCATTAATGCTTCAGATTCCCACGAATTGGAAAGGTCTAATACTACGTATGAAAGAAGCATTTCATCAGTCCAGAAGAACAAATTACCAACAGAGATCAAAAATTAAACTAAAGGTCGATTCTTTCCTTATGAAACGCAAACACAGCCTGCTCCAAACAATTAATTATCCAGATGGAGTGGATTGGATATGGATGAAAAGGATTATAATACGGCCAGCAAATTAACATAACAGAGGGGCTTTTCACCTTTTTTCCTTCAGTCGGATCGAAAGGTTAATTGTAACAGGGATGAGGTACCAGTAAAGACAGAGGGAGCTTCCATTGGCCGATCGGATTTTCACTAGTCACCTGTTGTTAGTACGGAGGATCATAACTAGCCTTCTTGTGAGGCTCAAAGTAAAAGACAAATTATATTGGTAAAAGAAATGCGTAGACAAATTATATTGGTAAAAGAAAAATGTAGCCGGCTCAACATTCCTTCTTATTTAGGGCAGAACACGGGTCGGGTTCGGACGGGTCGGGTTCAAAAATGATAAATCCGTTCGGGTATCGGATTGATAATTTCAAACCCTACCCGATCAAAAAATTTATCGAGTTTTTCGGGTTGAAGAAGTTCAGGTTTCGGTCAGGTTGGTTGGGTTTATCGGGTTTTTCGGGTTGAAGAAGTTCAGAATATTGAATAAGAATCTTATTCAATATTCGATTAACCAGCTCAGTTGTATTAACTAGTTAATCTAACGGGTGTACTCAATTAATACTAAGAATCCAAATTTATGTAATGAAAAAAATTAAATGCAATATAGTGTAATCTTTACTCCACCTCATACAAATTGGTGTACAGTGTACTCAATTGACTCTTTCCTCATGTATAAAAGAAAGAATTTTTTTCTAAAATATGTAGTATTACACATAAGAATATACTTCATGACAAATGTGACTAACAATTACAGAGTACAAAACTACAAGTTATTATTCTCGTCTCTTAAAACTTGATCAATTTTCTATTTTAGTCGTTCAAAAAAACTTGATCATTTTCATTTAAATTAATTAATACTACTACGTACTATGTACTTTGTATGTAGTTTAAGTTATTTGTCTCTTTGTACACATTTTGACAACAAATTTTATTATTGTTGAGTACCAACCAACTTTTAACCAAATGTACATACTACTAGATAACATTTTTCTTCATTATTTTTATTTTGACTATATATTATTTAAACTTATTTCATAAAAAAGCAAAGTGGCAAGGAGAGAAGTGCTTGTTTGCGATAAAGAAAAAAAATCAAGATAGTGAATTTTAAATCAACCTCTCATCAATCCATCTTATGTCAGGGGCAAATATATCATTTTAATTATTGTGAGAAAATTTGAAAAAATATTTGGCTACTTGTGGAATAGATATCAGCGAGAGCAGTTAAGGCAAAACAATCACGAGCACTACTTAAAAAATACATCAAAGAATGTTGATTAAAAGTGTGAATTATATTTCCAAAAAAGAGTGTGAATTATAAAAACTTAATAATTCCTCATCATATAATATAAATTCTTATTTGTAATTCATCCGACTCAATTAGAAATCACATTTCTTTCGCGAGTACTATAAAAGAAATAGCATGAAACAAATAGAGATAATGGCCCAAATAAGACTCCTGGACTTTTGTTTTACAAAAATATGACCCGTATAGGGTTAGACAAAAAAGAGACCCTTCAACCTCCTTGGCACTTATCGTTCTCGCGTATCGTCTTCATCCGATCCGAACCTGCTGCTCCTTCCAATTGCCTTCATCGCTCAACACAGTCTTCTCCAGAAAGAAAAATCGCTTCACCGAACTCCGCCAGCAATCTTCTTCTTCTCCTTTCTTCTCGCATGTAACACTTTCGCCGCTGCAGCTTCGAAATACCTTCGCCGTGGTCGTCTTCTTCGATGGAGCTTGTCAATCGACGCTGCTTTGAATCACCTCCGTCGTTGTTGTCTTCAATGGAGTCTCGACCGCCGCCGCTCAAAATCCTTCCCAATCTGATAGATTCCAGATCCCGACGGTTAGATTTCAGATCTAGCGGCTAGGCTTTCTAACGTGGGTGGTCGGGCGGTTGTTGCCGGTGGCCGGTGAGTGGTAGTAACAGGGGAGGAGCTGGATTTGTGGTGCGAGTGGGGGTGTGTTGTGGACTGCGGGCAAAGGGGCTGTGTGTGGGAGAGTGACTGAGGTTGTGTGCGGACTTAGGGCAGTGTTGGCGGCAGTCACTGTGTCGGAGTCACTTTGGCCGGTGGGGCAGTCACTGTGCTCGGTGGGGCAGTCACTGTGGTGACCGGAGTCACTTTGGCCGGAGTCACTTTAACCGGAGTCACTTTGGCCGGAGACACTTTAGCCGGAGTCACTTTGGCCGGAGTCACTTTCTAGTGCAGGGTATAATTGTGTGGTGGTCACATTTTTGGTATTTTTAATAACATGTCACTTTTTTATCTTTTATCTTGTTTTTAGTAATATCTAGACCAAAAGGCCAAACAAATATAATGATGATGGCTTATCTTAACTTCTTAAAGTACGGAGTATATGTGTGTGTATTAGAAAACTTTCCTTAGATTAACAAATAATATGAGGTTGAATATGACTAATAGTGGTTGGGGATAAATAATTAATATTCAAAAAAACAAGATTGAATTAGTGATTTTAACTCAACCTCAAAACGCTAGTATTAATTTTCTCAAAATAATAATAATCTATACATCTAGAGTCTATATTGAATAACCACAAGCATGTCAGCATATATACATAGAAAGAGTCAAAGAGGAGAATTTAATTAACAATAATCAAGTATGGAAATAATTATAGAATATTACAAAAGAGAGAATGAATAAATAATTCCAGCCCAACAGTAAGATAGAAAAATGAAAAAGCAAATGAAAACTAAATGAGTATAATATAAGTATATAAGTTATATAACATATATCGGTTAAAAATACTATTTGTTTTATGCCTTTGATGTATTCAACTACTTCACATGTGTGTTGTACACAGTGGCGGAACCAGAACAAAATTTGAGCAGAGGCTAAAAAAATTTGAACCGCTATTTGGGCAGATCCATAATCTGTATCGTTTTTGGGTATATATTTTTAGTAATTTGATCTCAAATTACTATATAATATTATCCCCATTTGTATGAAGTGACACTTTATTTGTATATATATAATTCACACACAAGCACACATACATATACACCTCAACAGATCAACTTAAATATCGACATTTATTCATTTTTATAACTATTTTGTTAGTGCCTAAACAAAATAATAGACTTCATTTATTAAATGAGTTTATTTCGATTTAGTACGCTTTCCCTTTTATTTTAGAATAACAAGGTTTAAATAGAAATATAGCTAAACATGTAGAGGAAGATAAATTAATAACATACAGAGTATATATATAACTTACTAACTTATAAAGAAAATAATAAATTCTTTTTCTCTTTTCAAATCAGCGATACAAGTAGGTTATTTATTTTTTAAAAGGATATTTGTTTTGTTCAAGGAAATGTATTACATAAATATAATTATACTCATATAAAGTCAAATATTTCAAATATCAACAAGAAGTTTTGGCATATTTGTACTAACCCAAGGAATAAATATAAAATTCAAATAGTTTTGAAAAGTTTATTGATAAACATCTTATAAAATGATATAGGTCAATGTTTGAAGGGTGAAACAATTTTTAAAAGTCATTTTTTGTTGTTCTTGTACCAAACAGAAATGTAAATAGCATGTTAATATTCGAAAAAATACAAAATATTAAAATTAAAAAATACAAAATACGGAGTAAATATTTTGAATTGGAAAAATAAAAATGCAACATAAGTAAAAGAAATGTGGTAGGAAAAATATCTACTATAATATAAAAGCAAAATCTATGAAAACACTGTTTTTTCAACAGTGTTCCCGCCCAAAGTCCTAAGGTGAGAGTCCATAACCTGAAATTACATAAATAGCCCTGTGAAGGAGCCATGTGAAGGGTAAAATTGCAAAACAAGAAATAATGATGACATTTGAAAAGGTTTCTGAAAAGTATCTAAAAAGAAAAGTTCCTTGATGCACGTGCACAGTAAAAACTTTAAAGAAAGTTCAAAAGTAAACAGAATTACGGCCCCAAACAAATCTGGCCAGGCTGTATTTACAGGCATGCGCACACAATATCTATAAAATATGCGGAGTAATAAAATTTGTAATAAAAAAACAGTCCATCACTTCTGGCCAGCCTGTTCCTTGGGGCATGTGTAGTATCAGCCAATCAAAATTTGCTAGCATGTTCTTGGGGTGTTTATTTTCTTGATAGGAGGGTCATTGACTTGCCTATAAATATTATGCTTTCACAACGCACACATCCCACACAATTGTTAACTTCATCTCATTCCCTCTTGATTCTCTGCCTACAATCTGAAAGATTATCATCTTAAACGTGCCCATATATATATTCATATTACATACAAGTAGTTCCTCTCTTGGTGAGAAATGAAAAATAGAATATTTGAGCAGATAAAAGGAGAAATCAAATGGGATTACAACTCGATGGAGTATAAGTAGAAGAGGTAAAAGATCAAAGCTTCTGCAGTTTCTTGGCACATATTCTTCAAATAGAAAGAACTACAAAGAGACGGCCACAAATTGCAGGAATGATGCAGCAAATGTAAAATAGGAAGATAATAAGTTCATATATGCATATCCCTCAACAAAAAAGGAAGATAATGAAATAGAAATTCATAAAAGAAATAGAAGTATAAAAAATAAATTTATTGAGTTTAAACAGATTTTATTTGTACTCACATTTTATTTCCTTCCAAACTTCTCTTACATTTTCCTCTCTATTGTTTTTACCCAGAATTTTCCAAGTTCCAAATAGAAACTGAAACACTGGGTTCAGCAAGGAAGGAGCTTAAGAGAACAGAAACGGGAAAACAGAAACAGATCTTTACTCTCCAGATGTTGATGTTTCAATGGAGAACCTTCAGATGCTAAATAATGAAACTTATCTTTACTTCTCTGAAAAAAGTTCTATACGTACAAACAGCACCACAGATCAATGGTACAAAAGAACCTGGAAAATAATACACCCCCAAGTGTGGCATTAAAAGCAAAATTGGCAAATGGAAAAACACGAATGAAGCAGTGAGAATAAAAATGGTCTGTTTGACTCTGTTTTCAGCCAAAACTCAGGACAATATATTAGATGCAATTGAAGATCTGAGGATAGTTTGTCGCAGAGAGCCATGCAATAAGGTACAAGTTTGCAGCATTGGAATGATAACACTACTTGCCAAGTTTTTGGACTACAAGAACATAACCATTCAATGTGTGACACTAGAATTTCTAGGAGAGTTGGCTGAAGAGAACAATGATAGGAAGGTGATTTCTTTTCTCTTTTATCAGTTTAT